CGAACCTTCCACAATCAATCCCAATCCAGCCACATCCATCTAGAACCTTCAACACTATAGAGCAGTGTACGGTTGACCTCCTAAGCCAATACCACGCACGAGTCTATAGCCCGGAAGATATTTCTAAAATAGACAGATCCCCTTTAGCGTTTGACGCAGGGCTCTGAGGGATTTAGCGGATTATATTATGCCGCCTGGATAGGAGTCTATGATATTGCGACAGCATCTCTCAGAGTGTAAGACTCCGAAATCAGCAAGAAAGATTCCAGCAGTCGTACACCTTTGATACTCGCAGCTGAAAATGGTCATGAAGAGGTGGCTAAAGTGCTTCTGGGCCGAGGAGATGCGGACCCTAATTTAGCCGAGAATACTGGCCAAACACCACTTTCTCGGGCTATCGAACACAGACACGAAAGAGTGGTGGAGCTGCTAGTGGGCAAAACCAACATCAATCCTAATTTGGTGGACAAGGACGATCGAATATCACTTCCTTGGGCTGCTATGCATGAATACGAATAAACGGTGAAAATGCTACTAGATCAAGTTGACGTCAACCCCGACCTGGCAGACAGCAATGGACAAACACAGCTTTCCCGGGCGGCCCACCGAGTATGGATACGAGGAAGTAGTGTGAAGCCCCCCTTTGATCGAAACGACACCAACCCTGATTTCACTGACAAGGACGGTCTGTTGTAAATAGTATACGCTCTTACAAGTCCCATCGGCCTATGACCGACAAGCTGATGTGACTTGAACATAGATTTGGTCTTGAGCAAAGTAGTTGTTATCCCGATATGGTCTACAACAGAGGATGAAGTATATAATTAGGGCATATGTTTAAAAGGAGTGGATGGAATATGGAGTATGGAACCAGGACTATGAAGGGATGCCTACCGCACGGGGGAGCTGAGGGAGTTGAGTTATCAAGCTCCGTGAATCCAGGATATAGTTCTGGTATGTTACCTTTCTATTTCTATTTCGTTCTTGATCATATCTTGGATGATGGTAATAATAATCATTTTGTCGCAAATGCTCAAGGATTTTCTCAGGCTTGCTGTTTTCCTAAAAATGTATTTACATGGATCGTAACTCAGTATTCCTCTGGCGTTCAAGTCGGGGAGCTGTACTGCATGAAGCATTCAATGCATCACTTGAATCCTTTCCATCCCGCCGCTTGGCATGCCGACTCAAGTTAAAACTACCATAGATCGCCCCGCACCAACTCCTTCCCCGCCTCAGGGAGGAAAATGCACATCCCAAAGCATCTTGTTCCGGGATATCACACCTCAAACCACCCACTACTTAGAACTAATCTCATATCTTTATCATATCATGTAGAACCTTCCCCAGCCACCGTACGCCAGCACTTAAATATAACTGGCCACCCAATCGCACAGCACAGCGCTCACTCAACAAAGTGCTACCTACATTCAGCATCTCGTAAACCTACTGTCTAAATCATTACTCCAGTAGCCCACAGCATAATAATATGGTAACAGTTTGCTATAGAGTGCCACCCTCAAACGAACCAGAATAGGATATTATCCTTTCCCCCTGTCACTAATAGATCCGAGAGAACCGTATTTGCCTAAAATAACGGTTAGTAACTTAAAACCCCCTTCAGCGCATCACCGTTGTAGCATATCTTTCACAACAAAACACACTTTTTATCTGGGGTGTATGACACAAGCACAAATATAGTTTGGGGGAGGCTCCATTTCCTCTATAACAATATTTTCACATCCTTACTGGAAACATTTTGGCTAGTGGGTATTGTGTCAGGTTCTGGGGGGGTAAATCAAGCATGAAAGTATGATATCCTACTAGTTTCTCCTCTTCTTCTTTTTTTTAACGACTCCTACCAACGTTATTATCACAACGGGATACAAAGAACTCAAGTTTTAACAGCTGCAGTGTCACTCTATTTTAGGTGAAGTGCAAATTTGCTCCCTTTCATCCATAGCGTAATATTATCATGGTAAAAATATTGCTCATGTCAAGGGGATTAGGACCATTTTCTAGAGGCTCCAACTTCTACAGTACGATACCCGCCAAGCAGGAATACTTGCAAGATATTGCACCCTTCATCAGCGTAGATACCATTCGCCGTTACCGCAATATGCCTCTATCGCCACCCAACAGGGCCCGGGGCTCTCACCATCATACTCGAGTACAATGTCACAGGAGACGTGCATGCCCCCGCACGACGGTATAATCCAGTGATCCAACCCAACTTTCCAAGCGAGTGATTCCACGTGACCGCTACCACTCAAACCAAGCACAGAACCACAATTCCCCTGCTCCCAACACCCTCCATAGCCTCCGGAGCAGTGAAAAAAAAAAATAACCAATCCACAGCTAGTACAATGGGCATCTTCACAGCTTCAGATTCAACCTTGATCACCGCACCCACCAGCCACACATATCTCCCCCACTACCACACCTTAAAAACACCGAGCACAAACGCAAGATTCCGAAATCCACCACTGTAGAGATCATCACCGGAAATCACGGCACCCCGTTAGCACCGGTAGTTTATCCCGACACGCCAGTGGAACCGGGAACCAGCTAGACTAGTCTTAAGATCCACCGGCCGATGTGTTTCAGGCCTCAGTCTATACCATGTCCAGGAATCGCTACGCCACAAAAAATCCTCCTCGGGGTGGGTTAGCCCTTTGAGTCCGAGCCCCAAGGCGGAGAACTAACTTAACTGCCTTACGAGAGAATAATACGTTTTTTTTTTTCTTTTTCTCTCTTTCCTTCTCCCGACATTCATGGTTAAATTAGCGGGCTTCTTTTTTTTTTCGCACTATCCTTTCGTCCGTTGCCGGAATTTCGGGGGAATTTTAGTCTAGTGCGTAGGCTAGCACTCCGTTGGACAGGGTTAAATTATACAGTATGCTATCATACTACAATACATCCAAAATAGGATGACGCCACCTGACTTTACCCACAGTAGTCTACTGTACTAGTATGAGTACAAGTACTCGGGGAGACCCTTCAAAGGTCCATGGGGTCGGGAATGGTTTATTGGCAGTCGGGACATAAGCCGTTTGTACTGTACCGCGCCCCCCCTCCAAGCCGAGGGGGTATCATATTCCCCCATCTTTCCAACTAAATCCATGACATTCGGCATATCACATGAGGGATGAGATATTATTTATTTATTTCCTTTTCCTTTTTCTCCTCCGATCTTTTAAAAACTATGCTATGGTAGAGTAAAAGGCACGGTTTTAATCACCCAACGGGTAACACCGCCACACGGATCTAACCATTCACGAACCCCATCAATTGATCCATCCTTCCCCCCAGCCGCCGCGGGGAGAACAAGTACCATACCAGCACAGTACTACGGATACCTGCCATTTCAATTCCACCGAGGCGCAGAACCCAAAATTAGGGGATCGTGCACACCATTGGTCTCCGGAGATCGCAAATACAGTACTATACCTACTACCGGCGGAAAGAACGGCAAAGCAGAAATCTGTCCTTCTAGAAAAGCACTCTTTCCAGAGCGCGAAATCGCTTTTTAAAATCTTAGTCACCTTCTCTCGGGGGTATATGCAGGTACAAGTAGATAACATTGCAGGAGGGCGAACACCTACCACAGTTGCAAGAACGGCCGGCGCACCGCGATGTACTGTACTGTACTTGCACAGGCAACTCATCTCAAACCTCCCCATGCTCCCCACGGACCATCGGCCCGGTTCCTGCTCCCCATACAATAGCACCCACATGGGTGAGGTTACTGCTACACGAGATTCCCTATCCCTACTCTGACACTCTAGAGTACTGTACAGTGCCGGTACTCTACAGTGTCCGGGTATGGACGTGGGCGACCGAACAGTCAGGGATCAGAGCTATCAAAGCTTCTTGCCCGTTTGAGCAAACCCCATCCTAAATTGATCCATCCCTTCATTTCCTATGAGGGTAGTAAGCTCGGACCGATCTTTCTCCTAGAATAGATGTCGGGATGATGGTGCACCATACCGGTACATCAAAATCTCCATCCACCGGAATCATGATAAACCACCCTAAATCCCCGAATAACACAACAAGCGCCATCATTGGGTCTGCCCCCCCCCCCCCCCCCACGTAAGTTCTTGTCTTCTCCTTTTCCACCTTTTTTTCCTATATCTCACAGACAAGCATCTCTCTACCTGGTACAAGAATCCCCCCCCCCTTTTTCCAAAGTAGGGAATTCCCAACTACACAGCACACGCTCCGATCCAGTAACTAGAGTCCCTACGGTAAGTTATCTCAAACTTATACTACCGGTGGCGTAACTTGGTCTTGCAATTTCCGAGACATCAGTCCCAGAACATCGGCACTTTCGCCGCTCGTTTTTTTCTTTTTTTCCCCGTGATGCATGTGCAAAAGGGTTGTTGAGCTAATCCTCCTGTGGAATAGTACAGGGCTATACGAGCACAGCGCTATATCATACAAGTACCAAGACCCATGATAACGAGGATGGGTTTATGATGTCAAGATTAACTGTGTACTGCCGGTGCTAAAGTTCCGTGTCATAAAAGCGAACGTCAGGAAATGGCATTATATGATGGTTGTCTTAATTTCCCTATTATATGACGAATGTCCCGATTTTGCGCCGGGCCCGGGATAGCCATGGCTAAGACGGGCCGAAAGGCATAATCGGGGTATAATAAACTGAGAGCAGAGCAGAGAAGAGGGGACAAAGTGAAGAAGAAAAGAATCCAAGCCCGAGTTTACAGAATAAGAGAAAATGCGAATAAAGTCCGTCAAATTTGGTGAATATGGAATACCGGTAAGGTTAGGTGAGAGAAGCAGCACTAATCGAGTTAAGCCAGGAAAAGGAGAAAAGAAGAAAGAAAACGCCCAGTATCCAATGGATAGAAAAGTAAAGATAAAGATAAGAAAAAATAAGAAACATAGGAAAAGGTAAAGTAGTGAACGAATTAAATCCATCCCACTTGGAACAAAAGAAAAATGAAATATGTATACTACAAAGCCCTATCTTCGGACTACCTCGAAACGGGACCAGTCCCCCATGCGTCCTGCCAACGCACCTTATTCTCCACGAATGACTTCTTGGACTCCTTTCTCCGGACCCTATCCACTTTCTCGGTCCCGACCGGCGCGTCGCTCATCCCGCCCATTTCGTCGTCTCCGTCATCGGCGCTCTCGCGCTCGCGTTCCTGGGGTAACTCTGCGATGCCCACCTGCAGGAGCGGTGAGGGTGGCAGTAAGGGGGAAGCGATGCTACTAGCAGGTGTCACGGGCGGAGGAGGCGCCGGGACACCCCGCCAACTCCTCGGCACAGTCCAGCAATGGGACCTGAAGTGACTGCGCTCGTCGGTTGAAGCATTGCCGCCAAAGTCCACCGCGTCGACACCTGCTCCTGTGCTGCCTTTCCAGGGTGGGGTACCGCGAAGCTTCGCGCAGAGGAAGTAATCGACCTTATTCGTCCAGCGTAATCCTGGGGCGTCAACGGACACCGTAGCCAGCGTTTGCAAGATGCCATATATCAACAGCCACCGACCCTTGCGTGCGTCATGAGGGTCTACTTCAACAGGCTGTATGCTCTTCTCATGTTTCGCAAAAGCGTCGACAAGAGAATTCGAGGTCGACGCGGAGAGAAGGGACTCTATATTTGTGGATTCCGAAAGTGAAAGTGCGGCGGCCTTCTCTGTTGCACTGTTTATGAACGGGGTTGAGTTGGAAGGGAGGTGTGGTGGGATAGAACCGCGACGGGTAGCGCCCTGGAAGAAACGACCCGCAGCGGAGGAGGCATTAGAGGTTAGCTTTAGTTTTGCAGGCGGGGACATTGCCGGTGGGACAAGCGGGAATGGGTGAGGAATGTGGGGATAGTTGTGTCTGTCGTCAAAGGCCAGGAGGATATCGGTCAATTGGAGGTCGTCATCGTCCGCTCGCCAGTGGGGTGAGCCGGGTTTCACTATCTTTCGGCTGCTGCTTGCGCTGTTCCCCGGCGGATTGAAGGTCGCGAGCGGAGAACCAGACCAGCAGACCTCCCGGTCGACAAGGTAATCGTAGAGCGCGGCAAAGTCTCTTGACAACTGAACATACAGCATACGTGTAAACCGACCATCAGGGGTCTGCGGTGGCCAAGAGCCAAAGCGTGCCTGATAATGCTTCACGAGGAACTTCTGGAACTTGTCGAAAGCGATCCGAGCGGGTGGATTCCCAACAGAAGTGGTGGGCCACATGTCGGCATAGTTAAAATTCGACAACCTCTGATCTGCCGTTGCAACGCGAACCTGAATCTCCAGGGAGGCTCTATCAATCAGAGCCTTGGTGATGGGCGATATCTCCCGCCATTCGCCACCCCCTTCCAATCTTGCCAGCATTCCCGTGCAATGCACGAAGCCTTCCCTCCACATGCCCTCTATTCCGGCCATCCCAACCTCTCCCCCACCGAGCCCGTATCTCAGCCCCCCAGATGCACCCGCACGCTCTGCCCAAACCAACAGTCCCGCAGCGCCCTCGGGCCAATTGCGCACGTCGTCGAACTCGCGCCTCTGCAAATAATCCATTATCAATTTCTGCGTGTGCGCATTACCAGCCTTGGGACCAGGGAAATGCATGCTGTGCCCCACCTGGGGGGTTAACATGCTTCCATAAGGTCCTTCAACCTCCTGCATTCCACGGTCTACAAGATCATATGTCAAGGGGTTCGGCGGAGACAAATACAAATCCGTCCTCTCCACCAAGTCCAGCAAAGTCTGCCCCAGAGTCATTCCCACGAGCGATTTATTGAACAGCATTGCGAAGAAATTCCTCGTGGTGAGATGATGTCGGAGCACAGCCGTCTTATCCGCGCCCATCGGCGCGGGGAAGTACAGTCGGTGCAGAATTCCTTCTTCTCCACTAGGGCTACCAGACCCAGGGTACTCATAATCCATGCTGATTGGAGGGCCCTCGACATCTGGAGGTAGCCCTGTCCTTGGAGGAGTCGGAGGCCTGTTCCTAAAGTACCCGTCCAGCTGTGCGACAAGAAACGGTGACTCGGTCGATCTGAGAACCGAAGACTTGATCCTAAAAGACGGCTGGGGAGGGGGAGGTTTGTACAGACCCTGCGGATTCCTAGTGGGCGCAGGTTTATCCGTCAAATAAACCAACGTATCACCATCAGGAAACCACAGCTCCAAATCCTAATCATAACGAATCACTCAGTACTGGCTCAAACCGCAACTAACAAGGAGACACAGAGGCAATGAAAAGGCGAGAGAAAGATACCTTCTTCCCCTTGATCCCAGAATCCCAAACCTCACCGCGCCGACCTCCACCCTCCCACCGCTTGACATAAACCCTCTCCTCCAGCCCACCCCCCGGCAAGCCAAATCCGAGTCCAAACCCGGCATCCTTCTTTGCAGTCCCTCCCCCGACGGCCAAGCGTTCGCGTATCTTCTCGCTGTTCGAGTCGAAGAAGCGCCTCAAACTCGATTTTCGAATCTTGGGGGACTGATACTGTAAGCTGTTCCTCGAACTCCCAGACACACTGGACGCCGATGGTGTCAAAAGGCCACCAGGACCAGGCTTGGCAGAACCCTTCCGAGCATGGCTCTCTCCAGGCGCTGCCGAGCACGAGGATATTTTGTCGAGCTTCACTCGCGCGCGAGCAGACCTCTGCGCCATAGCTGTATTTTTGTCTGCCTCCCCGTGTTTCTCCCTTTTCTCCCTTTTCTTACTTCTCTTCCTCTACCAACAATTCCCAGCAAGAACCAAAAAGACACCGAGAGGGAGTATAGTCCAACAGGAGATTAGGGATTAGGGATAAGGTGGGAGATGGGTTTTGGAAAAAAATCCAGGAAGGAAAGATGGGAGGAAAGATGGGACCAGGAAGGAGGGCGATGGACAGGAATTAATATTTGTAGGCAGCTAGGCAGGAAGGTTTGCTCGATGCGGCTGATATTTCAAGCTTGGCAGAGGGAGGAACTCGGCGAGTGCTGTGAAGCGGCCGGGTCAAGTTAAACGAAGACACTAGGATTAACCCAAAAGCCTCTCGCGCCTCTGCAAGATATTAGCTTAATATATTTCTTTTTCCCTTTTTCCCTCTCCTCCCTATTCTATCCAGTCATAGAAACTGTAGCCTCCCACCCGATCGAGAGTAAAGTAAAAGAGGGCAAACAAACACACAGACACACAAGCAGGCAAGCAAGGGCAGAAGATAGAATTAAAAGCAAAGCCGAACCAGGTCGGAACTGGGTCGAATGAGCTTGTCCCCCTCGGCTACCAACCAACGCAATCAAGAGTCGGGGGCGTGGTTTCAAAGAACAAACGAGCCCAGACAGTTGGGAATGGGATGTTTGTGGTACAGTATCACAGTACGACGGGAGGTGGTAGTTGTGCGAAGTAAGCAACACGATAAGACGATGAAGGGGAAGGGGATGGGGATGGACGATGATGGGAAAGAGAGGGGGGGGTAACAACTGGAACTATCAGTTCATCACCATCCGCAACCCTCAGAAGATGACGAAAAGAAATAGCGGTAGCGGCAGCTGTGGAGGAGGAAGAAGGAGCAGCATGTGGAGTGGGGGAAGGGGAGAGGAAGTAATAGAAGCTCTGTACCGCACCGTAGGTCTCAGTGGATCGACGGCTCCCTTTCCCCCTCTCCCTCTACAGTACTTGTATCTCGCTCGTAAGGGAGCGGCGGGGAGATCGCCGACCAAACCACAAACGGAAGACCCAATACGAATTCCGATCTCAACTCACTCAAACCCACAAAAATGCCCGACCAGACGAGTGAACACAGAGAAGAAGAAAAAAAAGAAAAAAAACTCACCGAAGAAATACTGTAGTACTGTACGAGTACTGTAGAGTCCCTGGCTGGGCAGCTGAACACACCTCAACACCTTTTGGAATAAAAATGAAACTCACGAAGGGTAAATATGGTGGATTGTGTACCGGTATGATATGTTTTTGTTTTTTTTCGTCCAACGCGCCAGGTAAGAGCCAGTCAAGTTAATACGGCCATGACAACACAAACTTTCCAATGCCGAGTACCTGTTCGAGTGCCGTACCGCACTCGTACGGTATGGTATTATGGCGGGTTTTAAGGAAAAGTGGAAGAGAAATGGGTGTACCCGGTACTACACGAGCACTATTGTGCGAGAGACAGGGCGATGATGAAGATGAAGATGGTATGGATGATGGGTGATGGGTGATGGGCGATGGTTAGATAGCGATACCGGTACTGTATGCGGGGACGAGGGAGAGCTGGAGTTTGAATTGTGGAGATTGGGCCAACTTATTAACACGTTAATTATACCCGTAATATTCACTTGCTTTTCCGACCCCCTCTCGTGGTGCGGTGGTGGTGGTGGTGGTGGTGTGGTTCTTCCGGGGGGGGAGGTCCGGTCTGCCAGCGGTTTGCGAAAGGGAGAGAAGAAAAGCAAAAAAACACGCATCCCAATACTTGAACAGTAGCGGTACGGTATTTTATGAATAAAATGGTGAGGGTAAGAGGATGCTTCCCCTACAGTGCAGTGGACTACCAGTACCACCCTACAAGCGCTCGTACTTGTACCCTACCCTGTTACGGTATACAATGCCGTTTACTCGAGTAGGTTTGACTGACACTCCTCCACCTGCCGTCTGGCGCTGATCCGCTTGCTCTCTCCAAGCGAAAGGAAAAAGGAAAAAAAAATACTTGGGCTTTTCCCTCTTCTCCGAATAAACAACAAATCTCTCTCCTCCTCCTTTCAATCCGAGAGTCACAGGGGGGGCGGGGTTCTGGTCTTAGCAATACCGGTACATTCCCTTATCTTGTGCTTCACGGACGGCTCCTATACCGGTGTGAAGTGGAATCAAGGATGATCAGAGGGTGGTGGTGGTGGTGGTGGTGTGGGGGGGGGGGATACTTGTGGAAAAGGAAGGGAACGGTTTCACATCGGAGATCGCCGCCATCAATCTGGGGGCAGCTAAGCAATAGTACTCATACGAGTACTCGAGTACAAATGCTGTATTGTAAAGCAGCGGTTTACAAGTACCTTGCAGAGAAAAAAAGAAGAAAAAAGCCCCGCCCGAGTACTCCAGTACGAGTACCGTCCTCACTCGGTTTTCTGTGCAATAAGACAACCATAAAATTGTTGGCCACGGACGCTTTGAGTGAGTCCCCGTGATGAAAATTCAATAGAAGCCTGGATGGAAGATGTAAAACTCCTTCACGTCGTCATTCCACGGCGTTGCGTCGTTCGCGCAATACCGCCGTCCCACGGGAGAACCTCGGATCCCGTGAACAGACCCCATTCTTTCGCCGGTACAATACTCCAGTGCAAGTACTAGTACTCGTAAAGTACTAGTACCATTTCCCAGAAACGTAGCTTCATCGGACTTCAGGGCGATCGCATACTCCCCTCCTCTCCTTCCCCCCCCCCCCCTTCTCTTCGCCTTTCTCTTCTTCCTCTTGCCGTTCATTCATCCACTCCCTCAACCCGGTTATCAACCCTCCGAGACGTGCGCCGATTCTCTGCAGTCAACCAACCCGGCGGCACAGGAAAGCAGCTCTGGCACAGTAGAGGAGAATTCCTAAAACTGTCTCTCGCGCCACTTTTTTCTTCTTCTCTTCGCCGACATCCTGGAGAGAGCTTGATGGAGTGGAAATCCCCCGCCCTGTCCCAGCCGCGGGTGGACCACCTGGACACCGGTGAGTCCATCTTCTGCATCACAAGTTGTCACTCGAGTGACTATACGAATGTATCCCCGTTCATCCTCCAAAGACCGCTAGGAGAAGGTGATTCCACCGACACTGCCCGCAAATCCAATGTATCCTACCGCACCGGCAGAATTACTTGCCACCATACCGGTAAATTATTATGAGAGCAGCTAGCCACTTCGGTACCTCCAACCTTCCCGCCCAGGGCGAGTTGTCTCCGAAAAGAAAAAGAAAAAAACACGGTGGGTGGGGCCGTGCGGGATCAAGGGACTATGGATTCTGCCCCCTTCAAATCACCCATCCGTACCTTGCGATACGCCTCTGGACCAGGGCAAGTGAGACAAACAACCAGACCTGGGGGAGCAATTGTGACGTCTGGCTACTGGCCCTTCCCCCATACCGTACTCTCGCGAATCGCTAACTTAACTTTTCGGAGACATATCAGTAGTGGGGTAGTGCGCCGAAGAAATTCCCTGCGGTGGGCCGATGAGCGAGTTCCTGGACGAAGAATTGAGTGGTGGGCTTGGCTTCGTGTCTGGCACCTCTACTCGAGTAACTGCCCTCCGCGCTATACTCGCCTGCACGTGTACCATGTTGTTTCCGTGTCAGTTCGGTCGAAGGAAAACTACTCTAGAAATTGCTCTCCCCCCTGGGGCGGTACTAGGAAGGTTCGATTACTACCCCCCCCCAGGATCAAGCGGATATCAGCTGAGTCTGGGCGCTTATACCGACGGGTTCAGTCTTTACGAGTAGATCCCTTGTTGGCTGTGTCTCGTGGGGCACTGAATTTTAACCAAGCTCCTTGGAAGAGAGAAGCTTGGGTGGGAATGGCTATTGCCCCAACCTTGGGATGGAGGAGGAACTGGCGGCGCCTACCCACGTGCTCGGCCCAGACAACTGATAGATATTATCTGCAAAGGCCACTGTTTGATCATGGCGGCAAAGGCTCTTATCGAGTGCTTGAAAGGTGATCAGCGGTGATGCCTATTTAGGCTTCATACGACCCAATGACTTGTGTGCATTTCCCTTTCATTCAACCATCGGCGCACCGACATCTGCTACCTTGCTTCCAGCACCTTAACTAACGCAACACTAACTTTGTACCCACATTATACCCGCATGGAGGGTTATAGCGGCAGATTCGCTACCAAAAGTATTGTACACACTCGGAAAGTACTCCACGTTTTGAATCCGAGGTTCTCATATTTGCCACGTGCGGAAGGTAGTCTAAAGCCGTTCCAGAAGTGCCGCCGATATCTGGGGTTCCGGTACTGATATCGCTCCAAGATTTCTGTAGGAGGATACCGGTGGTCCAGCAAGTTGGGCAAGCCAAGCGCTGGTGTAGCGGTAAGCTGAAATGCTCGACATCTCGCTGGCGGTTGTCCAGGGATCCCGGTAGTCTACCGATAGCTCCCAAATGCTCGTTGTCACAGCCCAGCTCGCCTTACCCAATCCGATTGACGCCTCTTACTAAATGCTCTTCCTGACCAGAACTGCCAAACTCTTGGCACGAGACACCACTTATTGATCTGGCAAGCTAAATTTAGCATATTTAGAGCCTGCGGTAATATTGGTAAGTAGACAACTGACAGCGATCCACGACAGTAATTATTGGCACGGAAATACTTCTTGCAACGAAACGGTGCTGGCTCGTCCGACAATATTTCAAATGGGGCAGCCTCGAGTTATCTGTCTCCCGGTCGTTGGTCGTGCTCTTTGGGCATCTTCAATCACCACCATCCACATCTTATCGGGAGCAAACGAATCGGAAAGCCGATGGGCCCCGTTGTTGAGCCTATCACGCGGCGGAATGTTCAATATTGGGGTAACACCGTGGCATACCACCTTCGCATCAGGGCGTAGAGGACCTCGCTTCAACAGAATCCGGTTGTCGAATAGCTGCACCCAGCTCATGTTAGTGGGAAATAATTCACTTTTTCCTACGCCGCACGATAATTATACGGTAGTCCTGGGCAGGGTACCATCGTGCTTTAGCGCCTGAGTACCGTATAGATAATCCAAAGATTTCACTGTGACGCATAAAAACCATAGAAAAAGTAATCCCAAACAAAAGCAAGCTGACAATAAATACTTGTACCCGGGTACTTGTACCTCCTTGGCTACCAAGATAACCACAACCACCCACCCGCTGATGGTTGGGGGGGGGCTGATTCAAATCGTGTCCATGATGACGACGACAACCTGGTCGAAAAAGTTGAGCATTACAATACTTTTTGGCAGTTTATCTATCCCAAGAATTGTCCTTTTTTTTGGGGAGGGGGGGGGTTCAAAAAATCGCTGAGGATCCCAGGGGGCCGGGTTCGGTCCGAGGCCATATCTTTCGCACGCGCCGGCATGTCAAACTTTCATTTGACTGACCGTCCCCCAATCCTTTGCGGAGGGGTCTAGTCATTCCGTGAGGGAAGTTTCGGGCACAGGGTGCAGATTTATCATTCCAAAGGGATAATTTGTCTCAATACCTGACTGGGAAGTAGGACGAATTGTGGGGTAATGATAGCGTGCATGTGAGTGGTTGGGCCGGCGGAGGTTGTCGCGAGGGATGTTATTGGTAGAGATAAGGGAATAATAAAAAATGCGATTGTTGTTAGTAACGTGCCTAGAGCGGCGAGTGGAAGCGGTGTTGCTGGGTTGGGGGGGGGGGGGCTGACTTGTGATCTTGTGTGATCGGGCGGTCATGTAGTATCACTCAGTACGGCCGAAATTTTGGATACCGTAGGGTACGACTGGAGTATGATAATGCGACAGAGAACCCGATTTCCGATAGACTGGCACCTTGACGGGCATCTATAATGTAGCAACGGCGCAGATTCGGAGATGAAAAGAATAGTTTTTCTATCATACACAAGGGGGAGAAACCAGTCCCTCTATATAGTAAAGACTAGGGAGAAGAGTTTTTCTAGCGTCCTCTCAGTCTGAACTCTAACCATTGAACTCTAACCATTGAACTCTAACCATTTTGGACAACAGGACACATTGCAACATATAATATGATACAAGCAGTGCTCATCCCACTCTACACAGCGACCGCCGATAAGCCTCTCTTCCGGGTTTTCCCTCTTTTTTTTGTTGATTCCATCTGGTCGAGCCATAATAATCAGTCCATCACTGGAGGGCCCACTTGATTCACGGGCGAGGAGACACTGACCCAGAAACGCCCCCCCCCCAGCAAGAAGGACGAGAGGAGGAGTTGGGTAAAGGCAAGTGAGAAGATATTTATCATACCGTGGTCCCAATTCACTTGGCCAAAGGGATACCCATTTAACCGGGTATATCACTTGCTTGTGGGATATTCTAGCAATTGCGTGAGGCTAACTTGACTACTTTTTTTTTATGGCCATTATATCCCCCCCATCATTACTTTCTAGATTGTTCCAAGAGTTATCCATATCTGCCAGCCATCGCATAAACCTGAATAATATCTGACGATCCCGCCACTCCACAAAATTTCCGGGGGAGTGAAAATAAAAAAATAAAAATAAAAGTTTCCGACGATCCAGAGGAGGAAATATTAGAGGGGAAAGTATTTGAATAGTTTGTTGTGATGGTCTTTTCGTACTAGTGCTGCGCTGGGTTTTACTCTTCACATCGGGCGATCGGTATGATTGGTAGATGCTTATATTTCGGGCTTGTTTTCTATTTGTTTTCCTGGGGAGTGTTTATCGGAATAGTTTCGATCCTATTGTACTGTACTTGGTAACATTGATGGCCCCACCAGTGTACTCGAGTATGCCTCCCACCCTCCCTATCATCTAGCGAACCGCTAGTCGTGCTTGGGCTGGTGTGCCCATTTTTTTTTTCCTTTTTTTCTCTTTTCCTTTTCTACCTTCCTCTTCCTCTTTTTTTTGTTTTTTTTTGTTTTTAGCGGACCTCTGCTCCGTAGACTTTGTAAGCATTGGAAATACTTTGTCTGTCGTAGGGAGGCCAACGCTTCGGGGGTCATAGGATTGTTTCCCCGGGGTGGGGGGGGTATGTTTTGGCCAAGGAGGGTACGGTACCGGTATTGGAAAGGTACCGTACCCTATGTGACTTTCCAGGGAGTACGGTACGGTATGGAGAAGATTTTCTCATTCTGCTGTTACTGGGTTTCAGAGAGGGGCACTACGGATCAACACGGGTGCTTCACGTGCCGGAGGGTTTCAGTTGTCCGGGAGTGAGGAGGAGATTCTCGGCTGGTTCGACTTAAGCCGCCTGCTAAGAGCTCCGAAACGTACAGACTGGGTTCAACAAACAACAGGGAAGAGGGGGGCGTGGTGCTGGACCGGCACTCTACCTCATGCAAAATTACCGGTATCATACTTCTCCGCGGCCGGTCCGGCATTCTTAGAAAACTGAGAGGGGCAAGCCGGTCGGCGATTGCTATCAATTAGGGAAATATGGATTTCTCTTCCCTTTTCCATCACCTTTCTGATATGGGCTCAAACTTAGCTTGAGATCCTGTCGAGGGGAATGATTTAGTTATGGGTGAAAATTCCTGATGCTTGTTGTTCCGGAAACCTATCGTGCCTGTGGAAATGACGACTCCTGTCTCCGCCCGCCCGCACGACAAGCGTTTCCCCTACTCGTACAATACGATACTTGTACGAGTACGAGCACAGTATAAAGCCGGGTCTGGGACGAAATGGGCTTGGCAGACTTTCGGCCGGCTGGGAAGGCATCCTGGAAGGCGGCACATTACCCCAACCACCCGCCGCATGGAGGGACACTGCTCGGCTACAGGCTTTTAGCGTCGAGCCTGCAGCTATGGTTCCGGGAGTCCTGGAATTGATCTCCACCTCTGTTGGAGAAGCGGCGACAAAGGTTTGGAGAAAAACTCTGGTGGAACTGCCTACGAACTCTAATTTCCGAAAAGTGAGCATCGGTTGAGAACGGCAGGAGGGTAAAGTTCGTACTTTGAAGAAAAAATTGAACACATGTAAGTTACGGATCTACGCCAAGGCGCTACTTTTCCTCACGCGCTCGTGGTGTACCACGTAGCGGAGGAAGAGTGAACAAGAGGGTCTGTCCCCGACGCCCGGCGCTGTGCAGACGGTATGGGGAGCACCGGCACCGTACTCCTGTAGTACTCGTACCGAGCACCGTACCGTACTTGTCCCAGACCAGATTGTGCCCGAAAGCGGGGATTAAAGAGATCCAGTATCGGTATGCTAAAAATCTGTGCGTATCGGAGCCCTCTCCTGCTCTCGTGTCGTGTGTTGGTATGGGCGCTCAGTTACGCACCGATTTTTTTAGTTGCCATACCGGTACCCGGGTATGGAGGTGGGTGATCGGGCCGCCAGGGGCCTGACCTTGCTACGATACCCTCATAGGGAATAAAAGAATGAATTTGGCACTGGAGTTGATCAACCGAGCAAGAATCTTTGATACTCCTAAGCTATGGCGGTCCATTCACCCACGTCGATACCTGAGTATTTCGAAAATCCCCGTGTTCGGGGATTCTTGTCTACTACACGTGTACTACCGGTACTGTGGTACTCGTACTCGGCCACGGGCACCAGCAGAGGCTACTAGACTCTATATGGAATGTAAGCATACCGCTATCTAAGCCTTTTCCGAGGCTCAGGAGGAGAGGTGAGAGTTCATTGGTTTCCGGTGATAGCTCTGTTCTCTACTGTACGGTACTGGTGCGGTGCTGTAGCTAAAATAAGATTGAAACAAGGGCGGGCAAAGAATTTGCTAGCATCGGTGCTGCTCTTGGTGGAGGAATCATACCATCGTCCGAACACCGCTATGGTACTAGTGTATTCCCACCGAATCTAGAAACCCGGGACTCTAGCGGTATGGTGCAAAGCAGATATATATCTTTTCTAACGTGAATTCCACGTTGGGCACGAATCCGCGAGTCCAAAACACCCCCTCGAAACCGCCATGAAACGTTAAACCTTCTTGTGGGGGAATTCTTCACCCGTTCCGACAACTTTGGCAGTTATACTTTTGCATTTCTATTTCCGTTCCGCGAACAAAGTAGCGGGATATATGGCGAGCACAAATATCAAAACTGCTCTTTAACTCCCTTTCCCCCCTTTATGAGAAGAGGCTTGTGGGAGGTTAGCTCTTTCGGTGGCAGAAGAATTCCATACAAATACCTGTGGGTGTCCTGCGCGCGCGTTTGGCATTGTGGGCTTGGCGGGTGGGAGTATCATAGGATGCTGGCTATGGTCGTTCATGCGATAGCACTCGTACTCGAGGTCGTGCTTTTCTTGTCGCAATTTTCGGATGCACAGCAGGTGCTTGCGGTCTGGGTGGGGAGGGGAGGGGCGGGGTTGGCTCCGAGATTTAGCCCTGAGGAGGTGTATGCGAATGTTGGGGATCAGGTCCAATTCCAGTTTTATCCGCGGGTAGGTTTCCTCCCTCTCCCTCTCGGTGGGGAATTGGGGAAGTTTTGTTATCACAATTGTCAGGTGGAAGCGGTAAAGCTTACAAATTGGCGATACAGAATCATTCGGCTGTACAGGCGAACTTTGAAAGGCCTTGCGCTCCTATGAGCAATACTACAATGGGTCAAGGGTTCTTTTCGGGATTCAGGCCGCTCCCGTTGGATACAGAAACAGTTGAGATGCCCGTTCATAAATGTGTCTATTTTCATTCGGTGATGAGATGTTCTAATGCGAGGGCTGGGATTAGATTACTACGTTCACCGTAAGCATCAATCATACGGAGCCAATATTTTTCTATTGTTCGCAAGGCCGGCACTGCCAACAGGGTTTCGTGGGCGTTATAAATCCGTTAGTTCACCCTGTCTTCATTTGCACGGTTTTGATCCGCAGGGTCTGATGTATGACAGAACTCCTGAGAAATCACTCAAAGCATTCAAGGCATCGGCATCTCTTGCTTTAGAGAACTTATCACCCGGCGAGTTGCCGTCAGTGCCGACAGTAATCCCGACACAAAGATCTTCGCCATACAAATTCAATCTCACCAAAACCGACCACAAAAATGGAACAAGGAACGTTGGGGTGATTGTCGGGGGTGTGCTGGGCGGAGTGGTATTTATGGTTGTGCTGGCTATGTCCTTCGTGTTTCTGGTGGTGCGGAAGAAGCGCGGCGAGGAGGAGAATAATGGAAGGGTAGGGGTAGGAGGATATGTCATCGGACGGCCGGACATGGTGAAAAGCAGCAATTATGGCATTGGTAATTATTCCCCTTGGAATCCAACCTTAAGCGTCACCACTGATCATGAATGAATGTGTGGGAAGTCTCCGTTATCGTATAGATACCTACCTACCTACCTAATCACCCTACTGATTTTTTTATACCCCTCCTGGCCTTGAAGGAGGGAAAACCATCGAACACACTGGAGATCCGGAGGGTCTGTAAAATATTTGTTGGACGTCTCCTTGGTGAGAGGTCGGGCCGTCGTTGGGGCTCGCTATTTTTGCATACTTGGGTCTGTGATTTGGATGAGCGGCGCTGGTTGTGGGGGGACGGCATTTTGTAGATTTATAGTTATCATGGCCTGGGAAGCCATCAATAGATATTACTCGGAAGCAAAAGAGGGGCAATGACAAGGTTGTGGATGTCCGTGACCTTGGGAGTGGGGGAGCATATCGCCTGCCGGTATGCATTCAGTAAAAAATGGAGCGAGGACAAAACGGTAGGGGAGGGCAAGCGATGGATAGTTCGGAGATCAATCAATACACATCATATCCAGAATTTTAAGACCATGGGAGGCAGGCGCTTGCGAGAGAGATGGACACTTCTACGACGAGCAGAACACAGAAATCTCGATAGTCTATGGCACCTGGAAAAACTCTCCTTTTGACACATCTCATTCCGGAGCCCTATCCGTCCCGTCCTGTCCCATTCATGTCACAAGAATCCTGATCCTAATCCTAATGACATCTCCAATTATCCAATATTACGGAAGCTTTGCTTCACTCGGAAGCCCCACCCTCCTCAACCAGCATGAATGGGTCGGGGGGAAGAGAAAGAAGCTTTCACTCGCAGCTTCCCGGAGCAGTGATCACCGTCAGGCAGATCGTGCAGCGAAGTATGAATAACACTCCCCACGATTCACCATAACGCACGACCTAGGATGTATGGTTATACAACGGGCTGAACCTGGACTTCCCCGAAATGCTGACCTACTGGCAGCGTACGAGTACGGTACTTCACATCCTAGAAGCGTGCACGAAGGATTAAACTTTTTTGCGGGTACGGACCTGCTGCTCGTGTAACATGGGGCAAGGTTGCCGGCGGAACTGGGATTTGTTCCGGATTTTGGGGGCCATCTTGGGCTGGGGTTGCTCGAGCGGTTGCAGGGCGCTCACGGTACTTGTACTTGTAAGTTTACGGGGTTGGGTTGGCGTTACTCGAGTAGGGTGGGAGGAGCGGGAAGGGGGCCGTGGCGTCGGAGGGGTGGTCGGTGTGGGGTTTTGTTGCGGTGCTTTGCTTGTATTGTGCGGGTATTGTACTGTATCATACAGTATTGAACTTGAGCAGTGAGGTACTGGCACCGAGGAGGCACGATCTGCCAGAGCGGACTTGACTTAACTTATTCAATCCACTACACCAAATTACTGCCATCCGCTTGTTGCCGTATCATAAAGTGCGGATTTCTTTGTTTAACGTTCTTGAGCGGTCTTCCCCTGGCTGTTGTCTTGGAGTTCTTACTTCGGGGTACTATTACTCTTCATTTTGCACGACGTGTATCGAGAAGTGGGCTGATGCGGTACAGTACCGTACCGTATAATAAGACCTTACTGATACTGCTGAGGATCTTCCAGTAAGAAGCAAATACGGTACTGCAATACAACGCCTTATAATGTGACGTGGAGTTAAGTACGGTACTGTAGGGGGGGGGGGGGGCAAGAAAAGAAGGTAAGAATAACCTTACATCTTTTGCAGTGCCGGTATCTCTCTGATAGCCCGCTGCTTCTCTACCGACTGCCGTGTGATACCGGTACCGAAGTGCGCTGTAGCACAAAGCTTACTGTGTGTGTTGAACTCGAGCTTCGTGAATACGCCACGAATGTTTTTTGGATAAATTGTGGAAGTTTTTTTTTATTACTTAGCCAACTCCTCTGGTTAATCGTTTTAGGGCGTCGCCATGGGATCGCCGATGTCTAGATTCGTCTGAATTTTGTGTTGTATCGGTACTCGTCGAAACCACCTTACCTTGCCATAAATAGCCTGGAAGGAATATCGGTAGGCCAGGGCTGGGCGATACAGCACGGTGCATAGATCGTGACTCGGGCCAATTAATTGCGCTGCCTGGTGTTGGGTTGGTCTGGTGTTACACGGAATATGGCAAAGACACTCCAGGGGTATTTTCGATGAATGGGGGGCGGGGGTGGGGGGGTTGACATGGAGAGCTAGAAGGTCGCCGTCATCTGTGCAGTACCGTACAGCACATTTCGGATTATATAGTCTTGTCATCTGTGCGGATGTCTTCATGAAGTCACCCCTCAAACTTCATACACAAACTTCTCCATTGTGTTGCGCCCCGCCTGCACAATTTCTATTCTGTGAGAAGTGAGTCTGATTAGTATTCACTGTTGCCGGCGATCATTTCTTCATCGGTTTCGGGTGTTTTGTTTCTTTGGCTGAAGCGCCATTGGTGCTCACCGAGTTGTGCAGCCCACCAACATAGGGGTAGAGTTATAGCTGTTTACAATATTACATGGCACGTCGGAGGTGCCGTTGCCACCTGGACTCCCTGCGGCACCTCCGGGATAGGTAACAGCCAGGCGTGGAAGGCTCCAGCTCATGTGGGATCTCCCCTCACTCGTCCCACTCAGCGCTCTCTGGCTGGTCCCGAGTCTTCCCATTGGCTGTCCAAGGACAAGCCGGAGGATCTTCTTCGTGTTCTTGCAAGGCATCACGTTGATGGTGGTGACTAGGGTCCCGTTGTCCAGTTTCAGCGCCAGAAGGTTGGGCAAGTCATGAGCCTGGGAAGCCGTTTGCTGCAGACGTTTACTACAGATAGAGATGCTTTGCCAGAATTGATCTCTATCGATGGTGACCGCTGACACAGACTCTTATTGGGGAGGTTCTTGGCACCATTGGGACCACCAATCCCGAAACTCAGTTCAAGATTGACGGGAGCTTGCTCATTGCCCTAGAATGGATGCAGCTCTCCTTTCGCCATGTCCACTGGTAAATCCGGAAATCATCCTCTCCTCTCGATCGCCGGCGTTGGAATGTCTGCTTTCCTCGCCACTTGGACAATCTGCTCAGCTCTGCGCCCCCTCAAACTCAAGGCTGCCGGAAGAGGTCGTCGTTCTCATATTCCTTTACGACTCCACCTGCAACTTGCTTGGTCCGACCTTTTGATCGCCTACCGTACAAAGTCGGGATGCTTCCTTACTCCACCCATGCCAGGGGACACATTTTGGTAAACTTGGCTGCCCAAGTCACGCTCGCCTTTAACCGATACGCTAGCCTTATCGGACTCAGGAACTTTGGGCGAAAATCCTACATTTTCTACTGCGTATGGCTCGCAGTATATTATTGATCGTTGTCTACCCCCTCACCCAACACCCCTCCTACCTCGAAAAAAAACCCCCCACCTGCAAAACAAGCTGCAGTCTGTGCCGAAACAGAGGGTCTTACACTCTTGAGGTGGTCGCCGAAATCCTCGACAAAGACGACTCAGAGGTTCCAAACGTGTACATCAAGGAGAGCGTCTAAGCCATAAACTCGGGCTTTCTCTATCAGCAGTAGTTGTGACAAAGTCAGGTTTCTAGCACCCGCATCTATGCGGTTCTCGCACCCAGTTTTGTCTCTTTAATATTCACTTCTCGTGTTTGTCGTTTACAAGCGTAGCTAGGGAATGGCTTATGGTCTAGTTTGGATAACGTATGCTCGCTGTGCTGGTATTGCCGTTGGTTCCCCCAAAATGCCGAATGAATTTAGGGCACTATTTTTAAGGTGGAAAAACAAAACCAGTGCACAAGTGTGATCGAGTGATGACATGTGATTACCAGGCTTGCTAGTGTCGATTGCCACGCTGCAGAGGGGCAGGGCAGAAGACGCATGCCAGTATGGTGCTCCGGTATTGGTATATATTTTAGGCCTGTGCGCCTGGTATCTGCGGGGCGGTGGGTAGAGCAGTTACGGAAGAAGACAGACTTCTAGATCCGGGAGAGTTGTGTGCACTGGGTGGGTGAGCGTGGTGTGCGGTTGGGAAGAGGGTGAAATTTTTGGGCAACAGTGCACGCGCCGGGATCGATATGTGGAAGGACAGGTAATGACGGGAGGTGCTTCATTATGTGCCGTCGGCGGGTGCGAGGGATGTATCATATACTGCGGGTTACATGGCGCTGTATCTAGCTATTAGTTCTACTTGTTTATAGAGTTATGTTACATGCCGATCCCTCCCTGCACATGCTCGTGAGAAAAGGAATGTGATAGGTGGAATTTGGTACCAAGTTTGAGGTATTATACTAAATTGGCTAGGGGTGATTGTGATATAAGTTACCGAGCACTGGAAGATACCTCCAGGTAGGCGGTGTATATAACAGATCAGCACTGTAGCATTTCCGGACATGGCAATATCATATGGGCTTTATCGGATATCCTGAACCGGAAGGTCAAAAAGTGAGCGTCGGGGGCCTCACTGCATTCCGTGCATATCTCCATTTGGCTCTGGCTAGTCGATAACTACTGCGGATTTTTAAGCCGCTCGATGGGGGGTGCGTAGCTGTGGCTCTGCGCGGTATAGCACTACGCTCTATTGATGAAAAGGTGTCTTTATGGAGGAATGGCGGAGAGATAGAGCCCAATGATATGAAACTGTAGCGAGATGTGAAAAACAATCCCAGGGTAATATATAACCTCCCACGCCTACTGGAAGTTTCCCGTGAATTGGCTGTTGGAATAACTTACCACGTGCACATCAACCATAGGCTGTCCACGACTTGTCACTCGACACTTCAATTTAGGGCAGGGTTGTCGTTCTCATCCGCCCATATCCAGCGCTCACACTGATCGGCCCGAAGTACCGTAAGCAGTACGATAAGCCACTGTGGCTTGTGAAATCTAGATGCTAGTTACTAAAAGTGCCGGGGTCAACATCGCTCACTCGCTCTCACGGGGTAAAGTTACACCTGGCGCGGCAAAATCAAGGTGATTGCCGTACGGTATCGAAAAGTTTGGCAAAGAGTGGAAATGCATATATAGCTTCTACCCTACCATATAGGTATATAGACCGATTAACATGTAGTGATTTAGTAGGCTAGACAATACTCGTCTGCTGTTTGGCCTCCCGAAATGTTTATCCAGCTCCATATTTATTTCACCGTATCATACCCGTGAGGGAAAGCTGGGTGTTGAGTGATGGACCAGCAATCGGTTTCAGCAGTTGGACAAAATTTTCTCAATTTTCCGTGAAGGGCTGCTCAATGCATCGACATAAACTGATCGGTTAGAAGATGAGAGTACCCCGGGGGACACCTCGATAATCTTCTCTAGCCCGAGACCTCATCCGGGATGCCCTCCTTATTGAGCGGAAAACCTTCATGAGCTCCCAGGAGGGTCTCCGGACTCCAGAGGCAGACCATATCAGCAGACCACTAAGCATGCCTATTGGGATCTGCGCCTTAAGTACTTGGTGATCGTAATATTGGCGCGTAACGTGGACGCTTGGTGAGGTTATGCAATCGTAAGAAGTGTTAATGAGCAGTCAAGTGTAGTAAAAAAAAAAAGGAATCAAGTTATCCGGGTTGGGTTTCGAGGGAAATGTAGTGGCCCAAGCAATCTAAACATCATTTTATAGGATGAAAGTTTTCCCCACTGCCGGATTTTGCAAGACAACAAAACATCTACCCAACCCCCCGCTCTTATGGACCTCCAATTCTTGAAATACAGCTGCTTCTCACTCCCTTCGCAAGGGTAGCCGACCCTCGTGACCTCTCTTCCAAGGCTCTAGTGACAGTACCAATGCAAGAATCTCTGAGTTCTCATCTTTACCCTTTGTAATATTGGAATGTTCATGTTTCTACTGTGGCAGTGTTGAAAACTGCTGTGAATGCGCTCTGTAGTTATAGAGGACTTAGGAACACCCTTCGAAATCTTGATGCTAAATCTATATGAGCAGAGTTTGATCAAGCCGAAGAAAGCATTGACTGAAAGTGTGATAGGAAAGCCGGTGGGCATTTTATATCTCCCGCTCTTGGTCCCTCTCTAAGCCTCTCATCCTGGCGGCAAACCTAGAACCGCTTGAGCCTTCGAGTGAAAGTATGTCCAAAAAAAGGCTCCGGTATACATCTGGATGTTAGCGGTCGTGGAAGAATGGCAGGATGTTAAGTTGCAGTTGTAAAAGTCTATGGTTTAGTTTGGAAGTTAAGGGAGTGTGGTGGAATATTCAGAATGGTTAAGAGTTTAGATGGTTGTGTGAGAGGATTTTATGATTATGTCTTCTCGTTGTTATTGCAGAAACGTGCGGGGGGATGCGGACATGTGTGGAATCGTGGAGATGAATGTAGTGATTTGGGAAAGGATTTCATTGCTTTGCTGATGTTTTACTTATACACCTGTTATCACCACTAGTTAGAAAAGAAGTGCGAACGAAGTTGTTATTCATACTTTTTTATTATTCTTTCCAGAAAAAGGCTCCGGGCAAGTCTACCTAGTTGACTATTTACGGCTGCGCTATCTATCGATCTTATCTTGAGTCGCCTCCAGAAGGAATGAGGCATGCGCGGATGAAGAGAGATACGGGTGGTGGTCCCCGGAAGTATGGGAAGGGTTTTACTCTGGTTTACATATACCCCTGTATTCACGTCTGGTTCAGAGAGAGAGGGAGAGAGAAGACGAACAAGACGAACAAGAAAACGGAGCATCTGACCATACCTTTCTTATATACTACTAAATTCTAGAGCTATTACTCCTACAACACCGCTGCGTGATTTTTTAGTCACCCCACAGCCACGCAGCTCTTCCCATGATCGTAGGAGCACTCGTACGCTTCAAAGTGCCGGTGGGGAGAGCGCCATTCTTTCTATGGACTTCGTTGTGTCATAAATTTAACTGATTTTTATAGGCCACGATCGCACGTTTTCTCGATGAGGGAAACTCCATTCCCTTTCCGGTAACCGCTGTCAGTGGCCGTGGGGGGATTGATGGGTGAAAAGTAGCGCGGGTGGTAATCTTTGGCTAAGCTAGAGGTCGAGCTACCACTGCTTTATTTTTAGGCAATATGCTATCCGGAACTCTAGTATTCAGTTGCCCTGAAATCGGTGCGCGGCGGGGTTGCGGCGCCCCCGTTGCCCCCGGGGTTTCCCCGCGTTGCTTCTCTAGGAGTAGGAATGTCCGGACAAGAGTGTGCTTTCGCGTACAACATCGTTCACCAGGGAGGGATGAACGAATTGCCACCCACTGCTGGGTTTGGCCCTGTCCTCCCTGAGACTATTGTCCGGACTTCCCTTACTGCTCGGCAGTGGCTGCAATTTTTTCTCCGTGGCGGCGATTTCTGCGGGGCCCTCTCGGGGGCATGAGGAGTGACTTAACGCCTAGCTCGACGGACAAGGTGTGCGGAATTGATGGGGAGGAGGCTTATCCAGGTGGAACTATTGGGGCTCCTTTGGGCATCTCAACTGGGCTATCTTCTGACGTACCATTTCCAAACTACTGGCACTTACTCTCTAAAGTAAACAAATCAATTTCTTCAGTCAACAAAAACAGTAGCATTGTTACAGCTCAGTCAGATCCGGCAACGAGAACAAGAAAGTCAGTGGAAAAGCAGACAGGTTGGCCCAAGAGCGAGCGTGGCAAATAAACCACCTAACTTGGCCTTCACAATCCCCCACCCCCAGCGGCGGTTCCTGTCATAGCACGGACTCAGCTGCCCTCGTAGTGTTCGGGCCCAAGTCCTTCAGCGCCGCCGCCTTGAATTCCTCAAATTCGTCTTCTTCGTGGGAGTCATCGGCGGGGTGCGTTCCGTATCTCGCCTTGGCCCCGCTCTTGGATAGAAGGAGGTTTGGTCACTAGGCCGTATCATGTTAGTATTGTTTCATGCGGTAGGTACCGGAGAAGGGAAGGAAGGAAGGAAAGAATGGGATGCCTTTCTACTGGCTGCTGCGTTTCCTGTGGCCGTGTCCCGGGTACGGTTCTACTCCTTGTGTTGATGGCTGCATAATCCTCATCACGTTTGGGCACACTCTCGTACGAGTCCCGACCTGCCAATGGAGCTCGAACATGTACGGCCACCGGGGATCCAACGGGGGAGATTGGCAGTCTCTTCGGGATAAAGTCCTCGTCGCGCTCGTGCGGGTCCAAGAAGCCCTCAGAGGAGGAGGAACTGTGGACCTCTCCTAGGTCACCGCCGTTGCCAAATGCCTGGATATCATCATCGGTGAAGCTGGCTCCGAAGGGCGGGCTGAGCTGGCCCCACTTAACGGTTGGGAGGTTTCCCCGGGGCTCCGGCAGGGGGCCCCCGCTGGACCACAAGCGCGGGAGTCTAACCGAGCTGTCGCCGGTGGAGTGGCTGCGTCCAGACAAGCTGTCGTCGGTGAGGCCGTTGGGTATCTTGTCCTCTGACCTATCGTCTTGGCCTGGTTCTGAGTCTGTCCTATAGTTTCTATCGGGTGGGAAATTTTGGGAGAGTGGGCCTATGCCCACTGGCCCCAGCGCTCTTCTTCTCCAGAGAATCCAGGTTTGAATGTCCACTGGAAGGTTCCTCTCTCTGATGGCCCTCATCATGCACCTATATATTGATCTCGCAATGCGATGCGCTCCTGCCAAACGCAGGAATCTAATTACGCGGCTCACACGCAGGTGATTATGATCAATGTTCCGTGTCCACGTATGATTTGCGGCAACGAAGTTTGGAGCCAGCCGCCATAGGTGTCTCCCGGTCGAGCTTGTGCCGCGGTGCTGGAAGCCCCAGAATGCCATCATCCTACGCACTCCTAGCATGCAACACTCCAAAAATCCTTGGGTATGTATCATGGCTTGCCTAAACCCGGCTGGCATCGGGGGCGCTGATGGATTGTGTTCCGAAGCCGACTCTACCGGAAAGAGGAATGGAATATACGAATTATCTCTCTCAAGCCTGGCGTCCGAGTAGCGCAGAATTTCTAGGAAGCTTACGGGCGTAGGTGAACTAGTGAGACCCCCTTCCGTGAAAAAATCGACATACATTAAAAGCGGGCTGCGGGCGTCCGGTTCAGCCGCCTCTCTTCTACCCCTTTTCCTTTTTCTGGCTGCTTCTCCCGCTGCCCGTGCATTCTGGACATCCCAACCTGTGCGCAATAGCCTGAGGGTCAATACCCTCTCAGAAAAGGCTATCGGGTCATCAAGCAACCCCGTCTCTGTCACGGCGGATATGAAAGCTTCTGGCATCTCATCGTATGCCCTCTGAAGCGCGGGAGTGGGATTGAGATCAAGAGGTCTCTCCGTATCAGCTTCTGGGAGAGCCGGAATCTTAGTTCCAAGAGGTCGGCCAGTACCGACGTTGTTAGTATCGCCGCCCTTGCGGGCATCGTCGGGTCTTGAGGGGTCTGGTGCGGGGGGCCGAGGGTCGCCCCGGAGTGGAGCGGTCTTGGCCGGAAGCTGGCCGGTGGTTATCTCACCTGTGTCTAGAGCTATTTTTGTTCTGGGTGACTTTTTCGCGCGCCATGGATGTGAGTTTTTTTCAGGAAGAGGCCGAACCGTATGCGGAAGGCTGGTCTGAGGCTCCGGGACACTGGCAGCGATAGGGTCGTTTCGTTGGAGCATATCCTGAAACTCCATTTCAAATCTAGACGATATCTGCTCCGTCGAATTATTATTAATGTTCAGCAGAGTCGGAGCCATCGCACGCCAACTGTTGTATTCCTCAAGTGTAGGCATACGGCGGTGGATGATACGCCCACCGCCGCGGCCGGGCCCGTAGTCATTTTCGTCATCACTATTTTCACTATCGATGGGGTTGCGGTGAGGACGGCGTCGGGGGGGTCCACGCCGACGCGCAATTAGGCGGTCGTCCTGATCTGAGGGGACGTCCTCGGAATCGTTGTCGTCACCCAATAGAGCGAGCGATTTCTCGTCCAGGTTCAATTGAGCGTAAAGCTGTAGTTGATACTTTCTCTCGAGTCTTGCCTTCTCACTCGGAGCGAAGATCCTAAACCTCCTTTCGAGTAGCCCGTTCGAATTCATTACCATCTCGCGTCCATCAACGCCTTCTTGGGTTCGAAGCGGTTGTACTTCCGCGAGGGTAACCCAATCGGACCGTGCCAACTGACAAACCCTCTCATGCATCCTCTTCCCCTGTTTTGGACACAGTTAGTGCTGCGGTGCTATGGGTGGAAATCGCTATCTCACCATCAGGGCTGTGCTGCTAGCTCTCAAGCATTTAGGGCAATGCTTCAACAGAACTTGGGCTGCAAGAGCCTTTCTGTTAAAGTATCTCTGGGAAGCAGCGATTTGCGCTCGAGAGAGCCTGGGCTGAACGAACTCACCGTAGTTGTCTTCGCCGACTAGGGACATGATATCATCTCCCCTGCTCGTAGCATCGACAAATCGGTCCCAATAATCCCCAACGTGGTAGGTTTGGGTTACGTCAGTTCTCCAGCCGTCGACCTCTCTAATGGGACAAAAAGCGCGATGTTCGTCCGCTGCCGCCTTTTGTTCCTCTGAAAAGGTATCGTCTCCAGAGGGATCAAACTGCTCTACGTTAGCTCTGGATTGCTAAATGTATTCCGGGGAATGGCAACGGACGACGTGAACAAGGTCAAACGCCAAGCCACAGGCATGACATTTGGTCCTTGTATCGATGGTACAAAACCACCTTCTGGAGGCGGAAATATTTGCCTCTACAGGCAATCTATCAGTTGATGTTTGAAGCTGGTGGAAGAGGAGGAATCACCTGGGAGATTGCGGTCCATATCCCTTGGGTCCCAATCACGCGCCAAAAGCTCTAACGCTTCGTTCAAATCGTCCCTCGTATGTCTTTGGTACTCCTACTATCCGATAAGTTCTCCAGATCTCCCGATAGGATGTTGAAGGCGCCACTGACCTCGATGGACATTTCACTGACTGCTATCGGCCATTTGTTAACGAGATTGCATGTTTTGCAGAAACGAACATCGGCAGGTGCCCTTCGTAAGTTCTGCATGATTTCTGTCATGCGCGCATCATATCGCCGTCCTACGGCCAAGGCCTTCGCCTCTAAACTGTCGTCTCTAGGTACCTGCATGATCGCGATGTTGGTGGGGAATTGGATGCGAGTAGTCGATCTCACTGCTATTACCAAAATAATCAAACTGAGGGAGAGCGGTATTAATTGTAGAATTACAGTCAAAGGAATAGAACTACCAGACTGTGTGGGGTGATGTAGGAGAACAATGAAACAATTTCCTTTGTCCGGACATTGTGGAAGGTGGAAAGTTTATTGTTGTTGAAGCCGTGTTAGGAGTCGCATGGACGGATGCCTTGAATGGAACAACAGGCAGGCCAAAGAAATCTATTGTCGTCTAACTCGCTTCACAGACTCTCCTCCTGAGGCGTACATTATCGATATACAGTGCCGGTGCATAGCTGCCACGATAGAGCAGGTCCCGGATTGTATTAGTGGTGGCGGGAGTTCTCATGACACCAAGAGAGCTGGTGGAAATAGGTGTGGTGAATGGTTCATGTGTCCACTGCGGGTACCGGTATCGTGCTGAAGCATTGAATCCGGTCCGGGGACTTTGAGAAGGAAGATTCCCCCAACGGCAGACTGCCCACCCCTTTGGGGTGATTCCACCCGACTACAAATTAGCCAAAGTTAAGGCGAGTGTGGGCGAGAGGCGAGTTAGGGAAATAGCGTGCAAGAAAAACAAAAACTTCTGAGGTTCCACATTATCGGGAAGCAGAACCCACGCTCCCGACACAGACCATCGGTGCGAGAAATCATCGGGTGAGCGGTTATGCACTCGCCCCGCTACTGGGCACGAGCCTCGCTGCCGGGTTAGGCACCGCCACGGGCCGACTTTGCCCGATCATCCTTAGTAAGAAATAGGAACAAAACAAAGAATCGGGACAGAGCAGAAAGCACATCCGGCCAATCATTCAGCAACCCCCTCCCGACCCTTTTTCCAACCATCCTGACGATGCATAAGATCCCAAACGAAACAACTCACCACTCAGAACCCTAACCCACCCTCTTCACCTTCCACCTCTGTCATTCCCAATAGAAACAATGTGGCCAGAAAGCCCCACCTCTTCGCAACCCCTCCGCTGTAGGAAGCGCACATAGACCATTGCTCACAATGCCCCATATATTCTCAACGCTCTCTACGCTGCGTCCACCTCCAGCCACCTCCAGCCCGCTAATAATCGGGCTGACCACAGCCACCGCCGCGGCTATCCTGGCCTTCTTCACCCTTCGTCCGCCGCCAACCCCACTGCCCGGCGTGATCCCCTCGCCCAGGGAATTACTGGGCGACTTGACGGATAAGGAGAAGGATTATCTACCCTATCCGCCCGATGTTCTGCTGTACGGACGATGGGTGGATACTCCGTATGGAGTGATCCGGGTGTACGAGTTTGGGCCAGCGAAAGGCAGAAAGGTTGTTTTCGTGCACGGGATTTCGACGCCGTGCCCTGTTGCTAGGGACCTGTTGTGGGACCTGGTTGGGAGAGGATGTCGGGTTCTCACGTTTGGTGCGATAATATACCAGCATCCTCGCTTCCCATCATGATATCACGAGACTAACCCGAACGAACCGCAGATTTATACGGTCGAGGGTACAGCGATACCCCCCTAACCCCGCATGACCACCGTCTGTTCTCCTCACAAATCATCTTTGCCCTCTCCTCCTCCACCCTCCACTGGACCAATTTTACCCTGATCGGCTATTCCCTCGGTGGGGGGATAAGCGTTTCGTTCACGAGCCACTTTCCCCACATGATCGACGAATTGATCCTCCTCGCTCCGACTGGAATCCTAAAAAAGTCCCGCCTGGGTCTCCTCCACCGGATGGTACACTCGGGATGGATCCCAAGCGCGTTAGCAACACTTCTGGTAGGCCGCCAACTCAAGGCAAGGCAAGCGCAGGATTCCTCCCGCCGCGTGGCGAGTGACCCGATGGATAGGGCTGTAGTGCTGGACGTCCCGAGTATATCGGAGTGGCAGAGCCGTGAGCATCGGGGATTTCTGTACTCATTCTTCAGCTCGTTCAAATATGGGCCTCTATACGGTAGACAGGAGGAGTGGGCGATTGTCGGGGAACATCTACGTGAAGCCGGGAAGAGGATTTTGATTTTGCTTGCAAAGAATGATACTGATATTGATCCTGCGTTGCTGCCCGAGATGCTGGAGTTGTTACGCGGTGGAGAACACGGGGGACAGGAACCGGAAAGGGTTGTGGGGATTGTGGCGGATGGAGCGCACGATTTCGTCAGAATGAAGGGGAGAATGTTGGCCGGATATATAGAAGAGTTTTGGAAGGACTCGAGGAGCATGGATTGGGTTTACTAGCGTGGTATATACAAGTGTCGATAGACAAAACTCTCATGATGATAAAATGCTACGAGTATGTTAGATGTATTTCCCAGTTCGCCGAAGATGATGCGTACCCACCGCACCGTAAAAACCGACATCAAGTACAGTGTCTAGGTTGCCGTACCGGTACGATGTCTTGAGAACAAAGTCTTCTCTCCGAAAAAGCCGTCGTTGCGGACCGGGCTCCGAGGCTTTTCCCAGCGCTCTTCACACGCCACCAAGGCGACGCCTCTTTCCCTACAGACCAGAGGCACTGGGGCCAACGCAAGGGCACGAGTACTGTACGGTACGGGTAGCTTATGAGAGCAATCGTGGGTATAGTGATCACGTGATCTGGAGCAACAAGTTGCAAAGCAAAAATCGGTCGGTGGATACAGTGCGAGCACGGTAAATTTACTATTGTACGAGCCTGTTACCAAAGGACACGAGCGGGTTGGCATTTCACACCAAAAATAAGCAACTTTGCATCTGGAAATATCCACTTGATTGCTTTGATAGAAAAAGGAGATAAGAATTCGGTGAATCTCCTGGAATCATATGGAATTTGTTCCGGGAAAGGATCAAGCTCTATTAATAGACTTTGGGAGAGAGATGTTAGGAGCATTGGGGGTGGGCAAAAGACATGATACCTTGAACCATAGACTACCGGTTTTCGGCGGGAAAGGTACATTGTGAAGCCCTCTCGAGCAAGTATTTAGCTGTCGGCACTCACACAGGGGTGACAAAGATCACACAATTTTTACTGAAATAGGTCAAGCAATTGTGGAACACGAAATGCTGCTTTGATTAATTTAGTTCCATCTTGTCTTTGGGTGAGTTAATGGTCCCCCTAACGTCATGCAATTTGGGAGCAAAATGGCAACCTACCGATGGTTTCTGGTGCCAGCATCGTGCATGGGGATTTATTCCAGCTTTATCCGTACGAGTAAAAGGGGTTGGGAGTCTGAAGGGGGTTGGGGAGGAGAAGGGCCCCTCTTTCTTTCGACAGATTTAGCCACTGGCTGGCTAAATAGGCGGGAAAAACATCACTATGGGGCAAAGTTCTGCTTGGAGGGCGGTGCGGGTCCCGGGGACAAGCGGCTTATCAGGAAAACCAACTAAAGATCCAGCTACCTGTAGAGATCTTTGCCGGGTCGGGTTGAGATGCGGCCCGTTGTACTCGTACCGTACTGCAACATTTGTCTAAGACAGGTGAAAGCTCTCAACATTGCTCGGATGTCAAGAGTCTTCAACGTCGCAACGCCAGAGCCACGTGAGAACTATCGTCCTGACCAGTAATAAGAACGAGAGGCACCTGAGTACTGTACCGCACAGTACCGCACTCTTGGCCAAGGTAGCCGAGATAATCGGGAGGCCGGGGTACTGGTAGCCGTCCGGCGCCAGGCCGCTTGAAATCAGTTGCGGGTATCAATCAACCCGTGACCAGCGCGATGATAGCTTTCGGGAGTTCCAGACCATGATCGTATCATCTAGAACACGCTGCAAGCCTTCACAGAAGTGCTCTGGAGAGGGTTCTCTCTAGCTCTCGGCTTTCTGAGCGATATTCGCCGAGACGGCAGAATTTCGACTTATCCATGGCTACCGTAATTTTTTGAGGTCAGGTTAGCCAAGCCCCACTGCCGGTATTTTGTCGGTATGATATTATGTCAGCAGGATGAATTGGCCATGAGTGCTGATTTCAAGTGCCGGGGGCCATGCAGTACAGGTACAAGTACCGTATTCTTGGGGGGCGGGTGCGGTGCAATGGAGTTCGCTTCGAAGTTCTGGCCGGCCTTTCTGTGCTTGCATCTTTCACTGCGTGCGGGCACAACTGCCGCGAATATCATACGGATAAACATCAGTATGATAGTTGAACATGTTAACCGAGGTGGAATATATATTACTAATAGCAATCTCATCCATCCCCTATGATATGCCCGCGTTGCACGGAGGTATGTACTTGTAGAGTAGCCTAACCGAGGCATGATTGAGAAGAAAAAAGCTGGACCACCAGATGCGGAGCCGGTACCGGCGCCGTAGGTACCGTGGACCCTTCACTTTTACTGGATAAACTTACGCGCAATTGAAGCTGCATCCGATCACCACCTCAACTCCTCCCCCCTCCTCCCCCCTTCTCCCCCTCCCCCCTCCTCCCTCCACATCCCTTCCCCTCGATCGCCCAGCTCCCGCTATTTACCTCACCCATTTGTACCTCCTATAGATAGGATACATTGCCACTCTCTCCTGGCAGCGGCCACGCGCGGGCAAACAAACAATGGCAACCCCGCTGACTCTACTGGCAGCGGCTCTGCCGCTGCTCTCCTACCTGGACGCAAAGCACCAATTGGCATACGATTACGGGGTGATCTCCTCATTTTTATACTCCCGCTATCGGTCTCTGCTCATGGAGCGCCGCGGGAAATTAAGTCCCTTCTACTGTATCGAGAAGCATGCCCTCTCGCCGGCCGATTGTGAACGCCCGTTCCTGATCTACCAGGGCCGCGAATACTCGTACAAGGAAGCTTACGAATTGGTGCTCAAGTATGCTGCCTGGCTGCGTGAACGGTACAACGTCCAGAAGAATGAGATCATTGCGATCGATTTTATGAACAAGCCAGTCATGATCTGGATTTGGCTGGGATTGTGGGCCTTGGGTGCGAAGCCTGCATTGCTAAATTACAATCTTGAGGGGGATAGCCTCGTGCATTGCGTCAAGATATCGACAGCTAGGCTCCTCTTTATTGACGTGGAAGTTAAAGTTCTCGAGGGGGCTGGGAGGGAGGAGACGAGGAGGAAGTTGGAGACTGATGGGGCGAACCGTGAGGTTGTAGTGTTTGATGAGGCTACCGAGAGGGTCGTGGAGACTTGGAAAGGCTTTCGTCCGGGGGACGGGGAGAGGGATGGGGCCAAGCTCCCCGATATGGCCATGCTGGTATATACCAGGTGAACATCCACTTCTTCATTCCCGTACCGCCAGAATCGGAATGCTAATCAAGAATATAGCGGGACAACCGGTTTGCCAAAAGCCGCTGTCATATCTTTCCTGAAAACCCACTACAGCGCTGGCTACGTTAGTGCATGGCTTGGATTAAAGAAATCTGATAAGTTTTACACCTGCATGCCCTTGTATCATTCTTCCGCTGCACTTCTTGGCCTCGTCGGTGCCATGGCAGTCGGTTCCACGCTTGTCTTAGGGCATAAGTTTTCCACGAAAACCTTCTGGCCAGAAGTTCGCAGTAGCGGAGCTACTATGATCCACTATGTTGGCGAGACATGTCGTTACCTACTTGCGGCCCCACCTTCCCCAGATGACAAAGATCACAATGTGAAAATTGCTTTCGGTAATGGCCTAAGGCCCGACGTATGGGTTCGCTTCAGAGAACGCTTTGGTATTCCCACCATCGCCGAGTTCTATGCCAGTACCGAGGGCACGTCTGGATCCTGGAATATCCAGAGGGGAGAGTGGGGCATCGGTGCAGTGGGCCGTAATGGTTCCCTCGTATCACTAGTATTAGGAGGTGGGGTCAAAATCGCAAAAATGGACGCGGGAAATGAAGAGCTTTTACGTGATAAGAACGGTTTCTGCATTCAGTGCGGTTATGACGAGGCTGGTGAGGTTTTGTGGAGGTTGGACCCTAACGATATAAACAAAAGCTATCAGGGTTATTTCCGGGATCCCAAAGCTAGTGAGGAAAAAGTCGTTCGGTGGGCCCTCTATTTCCACCTCCTTCCTTATATCACCTTTAGCTAACCATAGGCAGTGACGTGTTCCGAAAAGGTGACGCCTACTTCCGCACGGGTGACCTCCAAAAGCGCACCAGAGACGGTCTCTGGTACTTTCTAGACCGCATCGGCGATACGTACCGCTGGAAGTCTGAAAACGTCAGTTCTTCTGAAGTTTCCGAAGTCTTTGGCCTGCACCCCGCCATCGCCGAGGCTAACGTTTATGGCGTGGCCTTACCAAACCACGATGGCCGCTGCGGGTGTGCTGCTGTCGTCATATCGCCTCCTACCAGTGACGACGAGGTTCGTCGAGAATTGAGTAAGTGGGTCACGAAACTCCCGCGATTCGCGAGGCCGATTTTTGTTAGAGTAGTTAAGGCACCCGGAGGACTTGAGAAGACGGGGAATTATAAGTTTGTTAAGGGAAGGTTGAGGGATGACGGGGCGGATCCGGAGAAGGCAGGGGCCGTGGGGGATGTTCTTTGGTGGTTGAAGGACGGTGAGTATGTTCTATTTGGAAAGAGGGATTGGGAGGGGATTGTGAGGGGGAAGGTTAGGCTCTAGAATTTCAGGTGTTTTTTTTGGGTGAGGTTGATTGAATAGTATGATAAATGAACCCCGGTGTTCCTGTATATTTTTTCCTCTTTTGTTTTTGAGTTTTCTTCCTCTGGCCGCATTTAAGTAATCGCCGGTATGAGTGATGGGTAGAGCCCCATGCCGCAGAGCGTGGGGAGAGGGATGGAGGGTGGGGAAATGTGAATGGTTAGCTAGCTATGGTTCTGGGAGACTAAACTCTAAACCAACTCTTTTACGAGAGGTGACAAAAATAAATGTTTCTTATATTTAGGTCGTGAACCCTAAGGTTCGGAAATTTAGATTTACATGATTTTAATGCTTATATTCCTCTAATATACTCGAGTATATTATAACCTTATTTTAAACTAATTTTATACTCCCTTTGACTCATTACTCATGTATTATACTAAGAGATAGGTCTCAATTGATAATTGTTTAATTCTTCTATTTAGCTTTTATCATTTGATGTCCTTAACTTGTTAAAAAAAACAGTTCGCATGGTCTGGTATGATAGCTATCTAAGCATACTAGTTTAAAATATTTTTCATGGTTTTCCTGGGGGGGCTGGTAGGGTATTATAATATCGCAACCTAATACTACCGGTATATCCTACTATCATACCTTGAAACATAACGGGTAGGGTATCTAAACCTAATTGGGAATAGAAAAGATTTAGTAAGGTCTTACGATTGTCAACGGAGGAAAAAATGTCATAATTTTCGTAGAAAAGTTGGTTTGGGGTTTAGTCTTCCTAGACCATAGCTCGCTACGAGCACTTGTGAATAGGGCGAACATTGTATCCCAGTGTTGGCATACCGGTAGTAGTTTGGCCCACAATAAACGGGGAAATGCGTAATGATGTTTTCGAATCGGTCCATCGTTCAACCAACTCTCGTACTTGTATAGTGCTTTGAGTGCTATGCGCGCTAGTGCTTCACGACGTGGCATGCTGATGACCTGGGCCTATCTACCTACTGGTAGTGTCTGTATCGCATTGCCGGGTATGGGGGGTTTGGGCGGGTATGGAGGAACGCCGGATACGGTACTCTGAGGGATCGTAGAACACCGGTAGAGGGGTTTAGCCCCCCGGCGTCTTCAACCCTCCGTACCAAAATTTAGAGTTAGTTTCCTAAGAAAATGCGGCAGTCGATCGCATGGATTCAGCCAGCTCGCTAAACCAAGTTTACAGCGGTGCTTATGGATGTGGGATATGTGTGGTTATGAGGTTTACTATATCGGCGTGGTAGAGGTGGGGTGGCGCGGAGTTGGGGGAGAACGATAAATTGCGTTACTTGAGTACGGTATCACCTCCTTTGAAGCGTGCGCTTTGGGGAACTCCGCCGCGACGCTAAACATTTTGTGGTTTGCCATCGGATCAGGAGGGGATCCCACAACGTAAGCGGGGTTGTGGATAGCAGGGAGTGGTGAGGAATTATCATGAATTTACTTAGATAAGGGATTCTAGGGCGTTGTAGTATTGTAGGTGTTTTTTTTTAGGGGTGGGACGGTTGGGTTAGAAGAGCATGAAACATGAAAATAGCGCAATTTTGTATGTTCTTTTGTTCTACCATTCACGACATATTCATGCTCATGCAGTTCCTGGGAGGGCGAGGCAGGTGATTGCCTTCCATACCTGGGGAAGCTCTGAACTTAGACACCAAGAGAATGTAATCTAAGTGTTTACCAGGTCTTACTTCAACCGCATCCATTGCGGATTATGTTCCTGGTCCTGATCCTCGACTACCGTAGAGTTTTTGATTATGGAAGTCCTTAGACTGAGTGTTATTTTCACGTAGTCCGGGGTAGGGAGTATAGAAGTCAATCCGGATTAGACGTGGACCCAAGAGCTGTTGAAAGGTAGATGAACAGGACGTCCTATTTCAGTTTTACTGTGGGCACCACAAGGGTTTGTAGTGGTAAATTGACGCGTACCGGTATATCTAAACGCTTAGAACTAGCCGTGGGAGTACCTCTAGGGTCCAATAGAATAATGATATCACTCCGACGCAAGTGTTTGACCATACAACGCGAGTGATGGTCCATGACTAATTCAAGACACCATAGCTACAGTGCCAAATTGTGCGTACGTTGGCAGTACTATCCAAGTATTCCCTCCTCAGGCATGTGTCAGAATTACACTAACTCCGGGTCCCCAAGCCCTTTTCATCCCCACATAGTTCATCCAATAAAATAAAATAAAAATACACCCTACAAGTCAGCCTAGCCTGGGTATCTTTCTCCCCTTCCCCATTCCCATCTTGGAAACAAAACACTATTAGACTCCCCACAGTTCCTCTCGTAGCCCCCAATAAAACCAGCTATTTCCTTCTTAGAAAGTACTACTGCCGGCCCAGCTTACGAGAATAATCGGCTCACCCTTGATATATTATTTTGATATAAACCCCGAGTCGCGATTGGCTATTACTCGATGTTGCGGGTTGCACTTTGGGGCGTGCCTCCTTGGGCGGGGGCCTGTTGTCCGGCTGGGGCGGGATATTCTGTGCAAGGATGGGGATGAAGATTTATTATTTCATACGGCTTCTGGCCTTGGCTGATGTGGCGAGGATTGGTGGCTGGAAGAATGAGAGAATCTAGCGGCAGTTTAGTCATCAATACTCCAACCCCAAATCCCTTCGTTTGATCCCGAATTTCACAGCTTTTTAGTGCGCATCTAGCGTTGTGATCAACAAAAGCTATCCTAGATACAGCCAAGATCAGATATAAGGACTAAGACGGAAGTAGTTTAGGAGAGGTCACAAAATGATCACATCTGAAAACACCCGAACATGTAGATTAGTCTTTGATACCCTCTTTTGCGACAGCAGAAAGTCCACCGACAATGGATCCAATCACTGGTACGTCGAATGGTGATGAGTACTATGAGAGTGACGAAGATGAAGCTGTCTTTTCTCGTTTGGAAACCTATATCGATACCAGCCAAGCCGATCATGAGGTTGAAGAGGAGGGACCCGGGCATGAGGGGTTGAATAATTCCGACTCAGAGATTGAGGAAGGGGGAGAGGTTCCTAGTAGGGTCCAGGCAGCCTTTGAACAAAATAGCTACTCAGGAACTCGGCGATCCTCATCGACCAGAAATGCACCCAATCTACCACCAGTTCCGACCTTTGAACCCCTATTTCAACCTTTACCACTCCATGAACGTCGTCCCCAATATCCTCCTAGCTTCGATCCTGATAGTGGAGAAGCTTTGTCGTACTTTAAACTCTTTTTTGATGATGAGGTATTCGAACGGCTTGCAGCTAATACCAATGCGTATGCCGAGTTCAAGCAGGCAGGTGCTGGTGGATCAGGATCTCGCCGTTGGAGAGCAACATCAGCTGCGGAACTGAAGGTTTTCATCGGCTTGATTGTGTATATGGGAGTCTTTTCCTCAGCTCGGATATCAGATTATTGGACTCACAACAAAAAATACCCCTCCTATCCTATCGCCTTATACCTTTCGCAAAATCGCTTTGAACAGCTTAAACGGTATTTCCACATATCTCCACCTTATCACTCCCTTCCTCGATCCCAATGGTACCGGAAGTTCCAACCATTAGCCTCAATTCTGGCTGAGCGCTACTGCCTATTGTTAGGGGGTAGGTAACTCTAAAGTCAAGCGAGTATACACTAGGCCCTGTAATCTTCTGTCTCAGAGATAGTTAAGAAGGCTCGTCAAGATAGAAGTAAAGTAGAACAAATATATTGATAAGATCTCTTCTCCAGTCACTGATGATAGACTTAAAGCTAGGGATTTTTTTTTTTTTTTGTTTAACTCATATATTCTTTGTTAAGGTACAAGAACCTGCATGGAGCGCTAGCTATGGCAAAAACAAAACCTTAATTTCAGACGCATTCCTCCGCGCCCCAGGGAACAAAACAACCCCCCCAAGACCCTCTAGTATGGGCCCAACCACACATCCCGCCCTGCAAAGAAACAATCGTCCTCTACAGGGAAGGCAGGAAGGAGAAGAAAACCCTTCAGCGTCATCTCGACAAAGGAAAGAATAGATTAGGAAACCCCCAAGTGCCTCTACAGGCGTCCACGAACGAATATGTCCACTGTTGGGCCCACAGTAGGACCCTGGCGAAATGCCATGACGGAGCCGGCCAGCTCAACCCAGGAGATAGTGCAATACCAAGGTAGGCCAACCAGCTGTTCGGCCAGGGGCGGGCCACAAGCGTGGAGAGAGGAAGACAGGCGAGAGATGCCAGCAACCTGAGATAGAGGGGGGCAGCCAATACTGCAGAGGAGGGGGGGGTAGACCCCGGGCGTCAGGAGTCTGGAGGTGGAAAGGCTGGATGATGCGCGACATCAGAGCCAGGAAGGGTTGTAGCGCTGCCGCGACGGTGGCAGAAGGGGGAGAAGCACCAGTGAAATGGCACAGAGGGGAGGAAGGGTGGCCGAAGCACTGCCCCTTGGTGGTGGTGGGGCCCGAGGGCCCAGGCAGTAGGGTGCCAGCCGATCACAGAAGAGAGGAGAGGAAGAGGGCAAGGCAAACAAAGGATCCGGCCAAACGATACGGTAGGAGGCTGCAACTGGGGTCACAGGAGTAGCAGGTGTTTTACCGCGTCTCTCATGTAGTCCCTTGTTCTGGGAGAGATAGCGTCACTATAGTGGAAGGGATCCCACCACCTGTCACTCCCGATAGCCCAGAAGACCACCAGCCCAACTGACCGTTCAACCATCAACCCAGCTGCCAAAGCCGACCGTGCAGATGCTAAGCGAGGTGTAGCAAAAGCGGGATAGGGAGGAGAGAGGCCTCACGATGAGACCCCCAGGGTGAGGAGTGGCCCCCCATCCAGCAGAGGCGAGATGCCAGGCAGGGGAGAGAGGAGAAGAGAGGCCCCGTTGGGCGAAAGGATGGAAGGCATCAGCCTGCACCCCCCAGCGGGGGGGTGCAAGGCTAAAGAAAAGTGGTGATAGTTCCTCGGTGTTGAGTCGTTCCCGATTAGGAAATATTTTTCAATGACCGGAGGTGTAGCGGAGACGGAGGATGGACTTAAAGCTTAGGGATTT